CTGGTTGTGGTATGGATATTTGCTAAGGTTGGTTGGGATGTTTGACCTCAAAAATTTGTTGTTGGGAACTTAGACCCCAAATTCATACGCTGATGTTAATTGGAGGTGGGGATCTCTGGGAGACATTTGGGTAGATGAGGTCATGAGGGTAGGTCTCCCATGCTGGCATTAGTGGCTTTCTGAGAAGGGGAGTCCTGGAGTTGTTTTGTCTTGCCATGTGGTATCCTCTTCCCTGTTGTGATAGAGTAGGAAGATCCTCATAAGACACTGGTACCTGGCTCTTCCCAGCTTCCAGGTACCTGAGCCAAATAAACGTCTATTCCTTACAATGTCGTAATCTCCATTATTATTTTTAAATTTTATTTATTTATTTATTTATTTATTTATTTATTGTGTGTGTGTGTGTGTGTGTGTGTGGCCAACTCAGCCCACCAGGGGGCGGCCCTGGCTGGCATGTGGTGCTGGGGGATTGAACCGCGGTCCCTTTGCTTTGCTAAATTTGTTCTAAGTAGGTGCTTTAGACCACTGAGCCATCTCACCAGCCCTCTCCATTATTATTGCAACAGAAATTGGACTAAGGTAGTGGTGATGGGAAGAAAGAGTTGTATCAAAGATCCTCCCAGATTTCTGGCAAGGACTGGTAAGTTTGGGCAAAAGGAAAAAGGTATGACCATGAGTTCAGTTTAAACTCACTGAGTTTGAAGTGTTTTTGAGAGGAGAAGCCAAGTGAGTAGTTACAGGGGACCAGGGCTTAGAACAGAAGCTGAGCCATGCATGGTGGGTGTGCCAGTAATCCCAGCACTTGGGAGGCTCAAACAGGAGGATCGATGTGTGTTTGAGGCTGGCCTGGACTACATAGTTGAAAGCAAAATCAGCCTGAAGTACAAGATATTGTCTTGAGAAGAAGGAGAAGGAAGAGGAGGAGGAAGAGAACAAAAACAACAGCAACAGCAACAAGAACAAGAACAAGAATAACAAGAAGCTAAAGTAAATGTACACGATAACAGAGAACGTGCAGCTGAGGAGCAGAGGGTAGATCCGAGGCCCACAGAGCCCAGGGTGAGGAATGGTGAGCTGCTTTGGAGAGATCTACTTGGCAGATAGCAGAGGGAAACCCACCAGATTAGATGCCTTGAGGGCCATCAGCCCACAGCATTTAGTAGAACCGGAGGACAGAGCCCTCAAGCAGGGAGCTGAGGAATAGCTGGGGGAGGAGAGGTGGAGACCTTGAGAAAAGACAGCCCTTCACAGTTGGTGTTCTTGGAAGAACTTAAGCCTGAGCAAATACTGACAGGAAGGCTAATGGAAAGAGCTAGTGACTCAGAAGGAGGATGGGAGGGCAGTCTAGAGCGCATGTCTTGCTATCTTATGAACATAACTTCACATGGCCCAAGGTGACTTAGATTCCAGTCATTTTGTCCAAGACCAGTCCGTAGGGAAGAGGAAAATAGGAAGGTGGCACCTCTCTTTCCTCCTTCTTTTTAAACTAAACAGACATTTATTCGCAAGCACTGTCTCTTTCAAGGAGACCTCCACAGGTCCCACATGATGCTTCTACTGACATTTCGTTGGCTATAATTGGGTTCCCAAACCGCAAGGGAGGCTGGAAATGCAACCTTTAGACTGAGCTTCAGAGCACCCAACTATAAGCAGGCTTTGCAACTAATAAAGTGAATCAGGAAGCTGCAAGCAGTCTCTACCCTGAAGTGGGCAAAAGGAGCCAGGTAATTTGTCAGGTGAGAGTCTGGAATCAGGACCAGGAGTCCATCCCACTTGCTAGAATTAAATGAGACATTGAGGAAATCCTGACCTGGGACAGGAGCTGCTATTTGCTACATTCAGTTATTTCTTTTTCTTTTTCTTTTTTTTTGGTGGAACTGAGGATCGAACTCAGGCCCTTGCGCTTGCTATGGAAGTGCTTATTCCACTGAGCCATCTCCCCGGTCCTTTTAAATATGTTCTGTTTTTTCTTTCTTTCTTTTTTATTCGCTACATTCAGATCACAGGTTGTTTTTTTTTTGTCCAGTGCTGAAGATTGAACCCAGGGCCTTGTGCATGCCAGGAGGCAAGGACGCCTGGTGAGCAACACCTCTACGTCAACAATATAGTGTTTTAGAAAGATTATAAATATACACGAAACACCTGCTGTATACAGGGTACTGCTGGATGCTTTTGCATCCATGGGCTTATTTGTTTTGCTCTGAAATCCTTGCAAGATATGTATTCTCCTTTTATAGATTAGAGACCCTAACTCAGCAAGTCACCCTGCTAACAGGTGTCGCGATGTGGACCTGGGTCTAAGGACAGCCTTTCCCAGCAACCATAGGAGGTGAGCAGACCCTCCCAGGCTCTCTTCCCAGCACAGGCTCTGGTCATCGCTTGCAGTTTCCCAAACAGCCTTTTCCTTTCTTGAATCTGCCTTCAAACACATTGTTCTGTTGGGCTGGAATACTTTTCCTGCGTTTCTAGTGACTCCCCTGTGAACTTCAAACTCATTGTTCCAATCTCTTATCTAATAAGATTCCCTTCTCAGAAGTGTTTCTTGATTCACTTCCCAGGAAGGACACCTTTGGTTGCTGTTGATCACTTAAAATCATCCTTATTGTATGCAGCGAGCTTCCCAGAAGCCAGTCTCCCAAGTGGTTCTGCCCTGGGTTTCCTCACAGGCTCCAGGAAACTGTTCACAAGTATTTTCTTTCTTTTTTTCTTTTCCTGTCATTAATGTTTATTACTGGATTGGTAACTTGTCCTGGAAACCTTTATTACATACTATTTTGGCAACCACAGCAACAACTGCAAAGGTTGCCCTGAAGACAGAAATCAACTTTTATTCCAATAGGAAAGAGCAGGGAGGTCTAGTTGGATGTATGGAGTGGTCTTCATGCTCCGAAGTTTGGGCAGGTAAGGAGCGTTCACGCAAACTGCTGGCTTTATCTATAGTAGATTTGCTGAGCGCCAGGGGACAATGTAGAACATCTGTGAAAGGGCTAGATCTACGCTAGGCAACAGTGTTCTGTTGGGGACAACAGGAACTAAGGCAGACGACTGCAGAAGGTGCCCTGCGCCGGACCAATGGAAGATTCCATCTAAGTCACACCTGTGACAGCCCTGCCACATGATCTCCAAGTGTTCTCCTCCTGGTCCAGGGAGCCAACTGTGCCGCCCACATCCACCTCCACTCAGCCGGAGGTGGGGGTTGTGGATGAGGAGGGCACAACCCACAGTGCCTGTGGGGACTGTCTCGCTCCCAACCATAGATCACACCAGGACTGAAATGTGCTCTTCAGGGACACCAGGCTCCCTCCTTAATGTTTATGTCATCAAGCTTAAAAACACGCACTGGAGAAATGGAGAATGGGACTTTTAAAATCAGGGCATTCTATGGGGCTGGTGAGATGGCTCAGTGGTCTAAAGCACCTACTTAGAACAAGCTAAGCTACGCAAAGCACAGGGAC